TTGTGCCTGTTCTTTTATTACTTTTGTTTTATTACTAAAATTTTCTTTATTTACATGTACTATCAATCCTCTTATTTCTGTTTTACATTATTGGCTTGACAGACATTTTGGTTCCACTTATTTACTTAGTTGCAAGCTTAATTGATTTTATTTTATTCTTTTTTTTAATTTATCGTTAGACCTCCCTTTTAATTGTATTTTACTTCTAATTATGAATGTACATACTGTTGGTACATGTATTGTTACATTGTACTATTTATTTTTTAATCATTTTCCTAATTAACTATGTATTTTTTGAGCTACAAGTCTTATCAGTAAAATAATTGTGAGCTTACATTTTAGTTACTATTGTTTTTATAAATTGATTTATTAATAAAATACATATGTGAAGTAATATACAATTGTTTTTATTCAACATTAATGTCATTTTTTCATTCATTTTGTGAGCAATGACATTACTGACTTCACATTGATGATTATTTTCTATTAAATAAAATATTTCAGACTAATTTAGTATATTTAAACCTTACATTTTGCGCCTGCCCATTTTTTAACTTTTTTGTACTCTTGAGTATCTATTTTAAAAATTGAATGCATATATATTTATGTTTTTAATAACAAACATTGAAAAGTTTTGCAAGATGCAAATTATCTGCCAGTCTCTCTTCTTGAGAAAGCATCCTCTTATTGGACACATTTCTCCTTTCTTAAGTAATTTTTTTCGTCTTTGTGTATGTGAACACAACATTTTTATTGTTATATATAGCTATTATAGATATACTTCAAAAGCTTAAGCAAGTAGGCACACAATACCACTTTCCCTTTTTCTCCTTTTCTTTCTTCTGCTCTTTCATTGCAATCTTGAAAACTGCACTATATATACAAGACAAAGAGAGTAATGAACTAAATCAAATGAAAATATATGTATACAGACAGTCTTCATATCTCTGTCTTCCTCTTTTCATCTTCTAATATGTTTTCCTACAGTAGATAAAATTGCTATAGTTACATCATTCTCAAGCAGTTAGCTATACATTAGTGTCTTCCAATTCTTCAGTGTTCATCTTTATCTTGGACTTTAGTGACAGCGCAGGAACAGCTTTGTAACAGTGTAATACAGTGGACTGAAACCAAATGAGGCCTCTTATTTATACATCATAAAAACATGGTGCCATGTAGCAATCTCATTATAATTTTGCCACGTAGTAAAAAGCCACTGTGCTGTTCTCCACTTCAAATTATCTGTGGTCTAATGGAAGAGTATGGACAAACAATGACTCACAATTTTGCCTCGTAGAATGTTCCACATATATTGTTGCCTCATGTATCTGTCCACATATTGCTTCACACCTACCATTTTAGTTTTCTATAAAATGAAGATGATAAATATAGAATTATACCTTCTAAAACAGTTGTGATGTCAGGAAAGAAAAGGTGCTTCAATTCCATATCCAAAATAGAGCAAGAACAAGGAAGTGCTGATGTCCACTTAGCAATTAAAATTCTGTCCCGTCAAGAAATCCAAAACCTGGACAGAGTACTTTGATGGGATTGCCAGTGTTGGTAATGCAGACATGAGACTCGTGAGCTTTCATGGAGGACTCCAAAAAATTTGGCAGAGCTCAAACAAAAAAGGAAACCAGTCCTCATCAAAAACTGCTCTATCAAAAAAAGCAGATTAGATGATAATTTTGCAATTTTTGTGAACAAGAACTCAACAGTTCTACCATCACCACAAAAATCGATTGCAAGATGGAAGAATGCCCTAAAGTGACAGTACTGAAGTGGAGAATGTGATGGATTACACCCAGATAGATATCACAGCTAAAGTTTTCAAAGTTTGTCCAGCTCGAGCAGTTTCCACTGGCCTTCTACAAGAGGTAACACTGGGAGACAGCACAGGAACAATTGTTCTATCTTGCTGGGAGAATAATATTGATAAATTGGA